AGGCTATTTATCCTTTTTATCTTTTATGTTCTTTGCTGTAATGGGCCTTAATCTGGGCTTTATTCTTTCTTATGTTATGTCTTTTTAATTTTCTGCCCAACTAGRGRYTTMTYTRTAAATTACTAAAGTTTAACTTAATGAAATAGAATTAAGGGAGTAAGAGAAGGGATTATGTTAGAAACTCTCTTTCTCTGAACCCAAGTTGCCACCACCTTCTTCTTCTTCTTCTTCTTCTCTCCTCTTGAACTCTGATTTCTGCTACTTTCTTTGAATTTTTGCAACTTTCTAAACAGTCCTTTCTTCTCAAAAGGCTGTTTTTCTTCTAATTTGATTTTTTTTAGTACTATATGTGACTTTTGGTGAGTGATTTCCAAAGTTCAAGATGATTCTAGGAACCCCTATTACGATTCTTAGTTTTTTTTCTCTCTTTCTCTTGTCTTCTCTTGCAAGTTTTCTCTATTAAAAAACTAACACTAACAGTTATCAAATACCTAGGAGAAGTCATTTATTCAACATCTAGTCAAGGACGCAATTTATCCTGTGCCAAACCATTTGTGCACTAAAAAGGACTCGATTTCTCTTGTTGTCCTTTTGTGCCAAACCATTTGAAAACATCTCCAAATTTAATCTACCTCTTTTGTCCACCACTCCTAATGACTCTGGTCTTCAAGCCATCAAATTCTTTTTGTTCTCTCTTTGCGAAGCTATGCATATATCAAGAATTTCAGCCCTAAAATTGCTTGTTAATCAATCACACAGCTGTAACCCTTGACTTCTTCACATTCCATAAACCTGCCCCTGGCCCCACAAGGCCAAACTTATAGCTAAACCATTATAAACACCAATTCCCTTGCGGTCATTCTCAAATTTGCTACCAGTTCAGCCTTTGATCATGTCAGTCCCACATCATTTGGTATTAGAGCTCTCAGTCATACAGCTCTACTGGTCTAGGTTGGAAATAGTTTGGCATTGAAGGGAAACCTTTTCAATAGTCTAGATATGCTGGTTTCTTTTTCTGTTTTCTTTTCCCTCTTTCTCTTTTCTGCTGTTCACCCCTTGTTTCCACTAAAAATTCTTGCTATTCATTACCTAAAAGAAAAGGAAAAAAAGGTTTGCTGGTTGTAACATGATCAGTGCAATTTATAATTTTAGAAATTGATTTCCTACCAGTGTGCTACCAAGGCTAGTCTAGTCCATCATATTTTACTTTAGAAATTTATAATTCAATTTTTACATCAGTAATAAAGAGGGTTTTCAGTGATCTTAAATGCCATCCTTTAGACCAATAAGTTCCTTGTACCTGATTACCTTGAATGGTTTACTTGTGCTCTCAAGTGTTTAAAAGCTTATGGGACAAAGTGATGGCACCATTGAGTTTTGGTGAATTCTTTTCTGCTTCATTTGATGGCTCTGGACTATTAGACTCAGGAGTCAATATTATATTTCATTTCAGGTCTCAGCAGGCATCACGTTTACAAAAGGCATTTTATCTTGTTTGAAATACATTGAGGCTGTTCCTTGGAGTGAGGATGACGAAGAGAAGCTTAAGAAGTTGTTTACAAAATTTGCTTTTAACAATGCAACAGCTAGAGAAGTATTGGGCCGGCTGCACTCACTAGATCAAGTTGATTCCCAGCAACATTTGGCGATGCAACTCATTTGGTCAATCACCAGTGGTGCTGATGCTAGTGCAAGGAATGAGCTCAAGTCCTTGGTCACGGGCCTTTTGTCCAAGAGCTCAGTATATGAGAAGGGTGCTATAAGTCTAAACAAGGAGGATCTCTATGTCGTTTGTCAAAATTGTCTGAGTTCACTGGTTAGACTATTTGGGGAAACATCTGACTCTGCTAGGGAGAAGTCAGGAAAAGAAGAGAATGGTAAGCCCTTGATCGAGCAAATCTCAAGGCAAGTTGACAACTTAAACTGGCTTCTAGAGATTCTGCTGGAAAGGCAAATGGCAGAAGACTTTGTTGATATGTGGGCAGATCAAGGAGACTTGCTAAGGATCCATGAGCTGGTGTCTCCAATGATCAGGTATGAGCTCAGCCGAGTTTCAGCATACATATTCATTGCCCTTGGGAGAGGGAAGCTGCACTGCCGATTGGAGGCCAGATCGCAGGTCCTCCAAGCATGGTTTGGCCCTATGCTGGTAGACTTTGGTTGGCTGCAGAGGTGCAGAAAAGGGCTAGAAATAAAGACGTTGGAGGAAGCCATGGGCCAAGCACTCCTTACGCTCCCACTGAAGCAACAGCATTGGCTGTTCATGGAATGGTTCCGATGTTTCTCCAGGAATGGCACCGAGTGTCCTAATCTTGGCAAAGCCTTTCAAATCTGGTGGCGCAGGTGCTTCTTGAGGGCCCCTGAAATTCGCACCGTAGAATCACGGTAGCCATTGGCGTTTCACCTTCTTTCATTTGTATTATCATCGTCCGTAAATGTAGAATTGTAGATCACCTATGTAGATTAGTGATTCAGTGTTTTAACAAGCAGTCAATTGCTATTAACAATTCATTGATGCAAACTGTCATTTGCTTCAACAACAATTCAGCAATATTAATATATAGAGGCTAAGAAGGCATCCATGTGCATATTATCAAGCTAAACTGGACTGGCCTACTCTTGAAACTGATGATCAAGAAAAAGGTACACTGATGAAGCATCTCGCCCTCTTCTTCATCTGGGGTGAATGGCAACTAACTCCATGCCTGCATTCAAGAGCGTATGCATTTCGATGTACTCTGTTTCTAGCTACGAGAGGAAGGTCCGCTTGGTTCCACATGCTCCAGCTATTCGTCTATTCCCACTAGGGGTGTCAATTGATCAGTTTTGGTTTGGATTCAATCTGATCCAAATTTTATCAAATCGGATTTGGATGGTCTATTATAATTATTGGATTGGGACAATCCAAAATAAATTGATCCATATTCTTATTGGTTTGATTTAGACCTAAACCAAATTTCCAATAATCCGATCATGAGGCCAAACCCTTGTCTAATTTGAAATCAATCAAAGCTGAAAATAGTAGAAAATCACTTTTATGAAAACATTTTTATAAAAACACTTATAAAAGTACTTTTATGAAAAGTATTTTTACAATAGAATTTTTATAAAAATACTTTTACAAAAGCACTTTTATGAAATCACTTTAATAAAAACATACAAAAGTATTTTTACGAAAGCACTTTTATGAAATCATTTTTTACAAAAGTACTTTTATGAAAGCACTTTTATAGAAGTACTTTTATAAAAGCATTTTTACGAAAGCACTTTTATGGAAGCACTTTTAGAAAATCAATTTTCTTTAAACTTTTACGGAAGCACGCATTTTTATAAACACTTATGAAAGTACTTTTATAAAAGTACTTTTACAAAAGCACTTTTGTAAAAGTCTATGGAAGTACTTTTCGAAAAGTGCTTTTACAAAAGTACTTTTACAAAAGTACTTTTACAAAAGCACTTTTTTGAAGTACTTTTCGAAAGTACTTTTATAAAAACGCTTCTAGAAAGTACTTTTATAAAAACACTTCTATGAAAGTACTTTTATAAAGTACTTTTACAAAAAGTACTTTTACAAAAGCACTTTCACAAAAGTACTTTTATAAGTCTATGGAAGTACTTTTCGAAAAGTGCTTTTGTGCTTTTACAAAAGTACTTTTGTAAAAGCAATTTTATGAAAATATTTTTATCAAAATACTTTTACAAAGTGTTTTCTCAATGTTAAAAGTGCTTTTATATAATTTTTGATATTTCATTCGGTTTGGATTGGATCCAATCCAATCCATTTACATTTTAATGAATTGGATTGGATTGGGTCCAATCCATTTATAAGTGGACTCACATTGGACTGGATCAGGTTGGACTAAATCCGTCCAATTGGCCCCTCTAAATTTCCCACCTAGTCTCTGACTCTGAGTAGTGGCATCAATGGACCGGGTGGTTTTGGTCCAACCAAATCTGGTTTAAATCCATTGACAGACAACCCTGACCATATCCAATCTGAATCTAGTGAAGAGAAAGCCCAACCCTATCTGATTTAAATGCAAATGGGTTAGGTTGGGTTGGAATGGTTGATCCGAACTGGTCTCCCTAAACTAAAATAAAAAAAGAAAATCATATAAAACTATAGAAAAATGAAGGATAACATAAAATACAAGAAAAAAAAAACATAAGTTATATATAGAGAGGGGGGGTGCAACTTGGGTGGGTTTGGGTTGGGCTAAATTTGATGAGCTTGGCCGGAAGGCTTGAGCCCAAAGCAGTGTAAAATATTAACTTGGGCCAACCCAAGTCGCACACCAGAGAGAGAGAGAGAGAGATTTGTTGCATCGACCATTAAACCCTACACTTGCTCGATGTGATAAACATGTGGACCTTTTAAGTCTGGACCGGTCCAATCTAATGTCTTATTGGACCATCAAACCATTGGATCATTAGACTTGGATTGGGAACAGCCCAAATCCAGTCCATTGACACCCCTATCTCTAAGTTTTTGCAACATATATTCCTTTTAAATGTGTAGGACTTGGGAAGATAAAGCACAACATTATGAAAGGAATTCAGATCTGAGATTGAATTAGTATGGATTTCCCATGTAAAGCTGCTTGGTTGTGACTTGTGAGAGCATTAATCATTTAATTGCTGGTTCCATAGGCATACATTGTGGTCCTGAGTCCTGACGGGTATCATGTCATCATCGTCACCTCCTTGACATGAGATGACTGATACAAGCCTATGTGCTCTAATTTAGTAATTTCTGGGATCCTCAATTCTAATATGAAAATGGTTAGTCAAGAACCGTTTCAACTTTCAAGTTTCAAGTGGTCCGTCCGTATGCTCTCTCAACTTTTATTTCAGTTCTGCCACGAATGAGAATTCAAGTTCAGACTGCATCTCAGACTAGTTGTAGTTCTGCTGTCAGACTTAAAGATTCCCCTCCTAAAATGCCAGCTATTGATATTTCTTTGGTGACTGTTGGGTTAAAGCTTGAGAGTTGAGAGAGTTTTGACATTTGTGATGTGGCAAGACTAGTTCCTCCCATTAAATTATCATATAAACTATACGAAGTTAGTTTTACCTCCTTCGCACCCAGATCTCTCTTTACCTTGGAGATCTAATTAATTTGGTCAATGGTCATTCTCATGAAGAGGATACTTTTTTTTTTTTTAATTGTTTCTGGGCTGCCACAATAGGAATATGATAACCTTGGGCCACCAGTTCTCCATCATGGGCCAGCAAGAGAAGAGTTTGGCCTGAACCTTGGCAATTGGCAGAGCTTGAAAAACCAATAACCTTGGCAATTGGTACAAGTTGAAAATCCAAAAAACCCAAAATTGGGAGGTTTGATCAATCTAACCTCTCCAGTGTTTTGAGGCTTTCAAGCTTCCAGTAAAAGCGTGGTCATCTATTTCATTACATTGTTTTCAAATTGTCGTTGACCCGGATAGTCAGACTGTTACGCTTGAAAACTATCCAAACAACTGGTTCCATTTCACTCTCAACCTGTTTTTTGATCCAAAACTGTTGACTTGATCAGTGACCCACTGACTCAAACGGTTAAACCGTCAACCCGTTCGACTCAAACAATGGCTTTTAATCATTTTTTATTTTAATTATTTTTTTTTATTTTTTAACTTAGAACAGGCCATCTATTCGAACTGGTCGATCGAACTGCTGACCTGGACAGAGATGGCCAAAGCGGTTTCAATTCCAGGTTGATTTTTAAAACATTATCACTACATGAACACGCATGTTACACAAAGAATCAATAGGATCAAGTTGGGCAGGGGGTTCATTTTGCATTATAACAGCTTCAGATCTATCATTATTTGCTACTTGAGAATACATTTGAGATATAAACGAAAAAAAAAAAAACTACTGTGCCAGGATTTTAATTTTGTTGAATCGAGAATAGTGAAATTCGAAGACTGTATTAGTCTTAGATATGGGTATCTAAGACTACTGTTCTGTGAAATTCGAAGACTGTGCCAGGATTATAACAGCTCAAAAACTACTGTTCCATTTCTAATCTTAGATATGGGTATCAACCACCAAACAATATCAAATCTTCTGTGTCTTACTTCTATGTGATTGTGTTTTCTTTCGTGTATTAACATCTATTGGTTTATATAAATCAGTATCAAACTATCAGTTTTGTATTGGTTCCTATATTTATCTTTATTTAGTCCATCTTGGTCCATATAGTTCTAATAACGGAGTGTGAGCTTGATATTATTGGAATTCAATGGATGTATCACGCCCCTCGGCCCAAGAGAGGATACATATAAGCCGTATTATATTTGATACTTTAAACCTAATTGTTATTGATGTATACTAAGCTAGACATGAATCATACTTCATGGATGGAAAATATGATGGCTACGACCATAAACAAATTGGTTTTGGCTATAGCTGAATTCAATCTGCCTTACCAGAATTTGATACCATATATATTTCCGATGTAAGGCAACTTGGAAATGTAAACACTTAGGGCTGTAACTTGGGCCAGATTGAAGTTTGGATTAGGATTAGGGTCCGAGGGTTTAACAACTCGGGTTAGATAAGGGTTGACCTAAACCCGAGACCAACCCAATTTACAGCCCTATGAAGGAGTATAAATGCAAAAATATATATAATGCAAATACATGTAAAATAATGCAAAGTATAAAGTTTTGCACTCTACAAATTTGTATTTGTACTCTTTTCAAACTAAACCTTAGGTTTAATTTGTTTGTGATTCAAATTTCAATTACACTAGTGTAAATGCATAAGATTGCAAATATGGGAGTCTAAATTCTAGTTTATTTTTTGCTTTAGAATTGATTTTCTCTTATTTGTTTGGGATAAGTAAAATAGGAAGTCAAATGATAAATGATGTGGTCGTCACCTTATATATATGAAAGATAATGAAGGTGGAGGATGGTTGTTTGTTTTGGAGATAATGAATGTGGTCCTCACTTTAGGCTCAGTTTGGAAGGAGTACAAATACAAATATGTAGAGTGCAAAACCTCGTATTTTATTTTGTATGTATTTGCACTATACATATTTGTATTTGTACGCTTTACAAACTAAGCCTTATGAGAGGGAATTGAGGTAGGAGAAAGGTGGTGCAAATCAAAGCTTTGAAAGGCTAATGGCATAGTTGAGGCCAAGAATCAAAGTATCGATATTGAGTATTGAATTGCGCAACTTGGATATGGATATGGATATGGATACTGATACACTAATGCATGGATATCAACAATATATATATATATATATATATATATATATATATATATATATATATATAGAAATGCTTGGATATGCTAGAAATTCCATAAATTACATTAATAACACTAAATTTAAATCAAAATATCCATAAATTATGTATAAATACATAGGAAATGTATATTTTAATGATATATATGAAGAAATATATTACAATTAATATATTAGGATGCATAAATATATTACAATTTTAATGATAATGCATCAATTAAGAGTCCAAGATATATTATATAATTTCTTACAAATTAATACATGCACAAAGTCATTATTTTGTTATTTTTTATTTAAGTCCAAGGCAAAAAAATGTATGCAACTATTATATT